AGTGGCGACTTAGCAATACAACTTTAGTACGCAGAGTAGCTGGGGAGCACTATGTCCAACTTCGGTTGTTGCCTTCCTCGCCATGCTGCCTTGTCTCACAAAAAAGGGGTCGGCGGCACCAGGGCGGAGCCCTTACATAATTTGCTTCAACGCTCATGCGGTTGCCTCCAAATGCGGCCGCTGCGCTACACTGCATCAAGAAGGATGTGGCCACAAACTGAAACGAAGCTACAGCTAATTACAATATCTCATGCAGATTGAAGTGGACAAAAGGTCAAACGGGTTGTGAAAATCACATCCCTTTGCGGCTCCCGCTGGCCTCCTTCAACCAGCCCTGATAGAGGAGCCATCCAGACTGGCAGAGAAGTTGCAAGCGGTACAGTAGCGTTTCAAAAGCTAGGAATCCAAACATATTCCACGAGTAACGGTGATACCTAGTCGGCTTCTTAGAGTATTAGAGCAGCCATTGTCTCCCAAACATCTATACTCTATGAAGTTACCTGGCAGCTTGCTAGAAGCCAAGGTTTGCGTGTGTATGGTTAGTCTAGGTGCTTCTGCCACTTGTGAAGCCACTGTTGCTAGCTCAGGTGCTATCTGGGCAAACTATTACAGTTCCTCAGGCTGAAAGAAGCCCCGAGGCGCTGTCCTTGTTTCCAAGCCGCATGTTTCTCAAGGCAGGAAGTGTTCGAAAAAGGTGGCCGTGATTTGACCAGATCTTCAGATCAAACTGAAGCCCCATTATCGACGTGGCACCGGAACCTTCGGACTTCTCACTCCCTTCAATGATGTTTAATCTATATACTTCCCAGCATGTGTTTGTGTTTGTTGTTGTTTTCTGTCTCTGTGTCTGTGCGTTTGTTTGTTGTTTTTGGTCCGGACGGTGGAAATTCGAGCAGCCACGCCGCACAAACGAATCGTGCACCAAAACTCTGCAGTCAAGTGACGTAGAGTTCGACGGTGCCAATAGCACCAAGGAAGGGCAGCATGTAGCCAGCCTCCACCATCTTGTCATGAGCCTCACTACGGGAAAACGGCCCTTTTGAAAAAAGGAAAGAAGGCTGTCTGGTCAAGGTGGGAAGTGGGAACTTCCGGAAGAGTTCACCTTGTCACACCATGAAGCCGCCCGTCTTTTTAATTGAAGTTGGCTATGAAACCGAGGCTAAAGCAAGATACCGTGAAAGCACATGTCGAGACTCATCTTATCTTGATTTCACAGTCCCTTGTAGATCTTGAGAACTTAGTTTAGACAAAATGTCTCTTGTGCATCTACTGTACCAACACTTCTGCTACCAGTATTTACAAACAACCAGGCCACAAGACCTCTGAAACTAGCCGGGAAGCTTAGACTTCGAGCTCCTTTCCCTACAAAATCCCAGCAAAGACACCGCCCAAAAACAATCCTCCCACCGGGTCACTCGACGAAATCACCCTTCCCAGTCGTTCATTCTGGCCTCAAAGGCATTGGACACGGCCTGGAACTTGTCGCCTGGGAAGCGGAAGCCCATGTCAGTGGCGATCCAGCCTGAACATGTGGAAGCTTCGAGCCCCGGAGACGAACCACCGAAAAACACCCACGTCTTGGTCTTCGCCAAAGGCGAATCAAACCATCAAGAATTGTCCAGGTGTTTGGTATGGCAAACGGAGTCTTTCATGTTTCAGACACCCAAAATTGGAAAGTCATATTCTGCATGAATGGATCCAACGAATGGATCGATTAATATATGTTCAGCGCATCTCTGCCTTCTAAAAGCTCTCTTCAGGTCTGCATGCGATAGGACGTGGCCAGTGGATACTGTGAACTCTTGCTACAAAGTAATAAGGTTGCAAAATGTGCGCACTTGCACGTCTTGAGATTCTGTACTTCTCTGGCCTTACTTGCGCAGAGTCTTCATACAACTGTTCTAGAATGCACATCTTCTCAAGACTTCGCAGGTCCCTCAAATGCTCGGTTGTCTTCCCCAACGACATATCGGTCGTCTTCCACGCCAACCGCGCCTACGGTGGCCAGCATGCAGACGCGTCCGTGCTTGAGCTCCGCTTCACGCACCCAGTAGACGGGGAGAGCATCGGTGACGCCCAAAGGGTCGAAGCCCTTCTCCTCACCGACCCAGCCCTTCAACACCTGGCGCCAGGCGCGCCAGGCGCTTGGTTCACATGGAAGAAGGCTCTTGGGAGTGGGTATGTTCACTGTGTTTCACATGGATTTGTGAACAAATTGGAAGAAATGGGGACCAAAATGCTGCCCAACGGGCGCTTTCAGTGCTTTGCTTCGAAAGCTTGGTGAATTTCCGGCTTCGCAGGAATGCAGTGTGGGGCACTTGCATGCAGCATTCTAAGGTCAGCTTGCATCTGAGTTCAGATGAAGCAAAGATCTGCGCAGGGCATCTTTGCATGGAAAGTGAACAGCCAGAACTCATGATCACGACCTGCGGATAGCGAAGGAATGGCACGGACGCAGACATCTCCATCTCCTGCAGCTCTCGGTTGGATATCGGCGACCACAACAAGTGTCCCCACCAAAACTGGCGAGGCTTCAACATTCCCATGCGTCTACCAGTCAGGAAAACAGGTCCCACGGCATTAAGCATATCGGAAGAGCAAGAAAAGTGCAGTTGACCTGTTTTGACAATTCATCCATTAGGAGAATGTCTTTGTTCCCTAATGAACCAACCAAGTCAAGCTGGTGTACTAAATGGAAGTCGGCCATCAAGAAGGATCAGTCATATCATATCCAGATTCTTTCTTTCCGCGCCCCCGTCCTTTGGGTAGGTCTCAGTCTCAATGAATGGCCCCTCGCTCAACTTGGTGCCAGCACGGAGCGTGGTTCGGCCGGTGCGGCGTGGCAAAGCGCAGACAGCGGCATTGTCCACCACGGCGCCAGTGAAGGACCTGATGGACGATGGAATCTATGGCGATTCACACACATCATACATCTTTTTCTGGTTGCCGTGGCTGGAAACAGGATGTAAAATGTGTGACACGGTCAGTGGCCAATCATACTGTGATACTGGTGGTATACTGCTGCTTATACCGCCAGATGTTTTGTTTCTTTCATCCTAATATACCACCTCCGTGTTACTGTGATTACCGGCTGCCACCCGGAACCGACACAGGGCAGTCGAATTAGGCACGCTTGCTTCAGTCAGGGTTACCCCGAAAGGAAGTGCACAGCATCTGCGGATTCCTTCAAACTTCCCTTGCTCCACGTCCCAGGCACTGGCAGTTGTTGATGTGCTGGACGTACCACTGGACCGGCTCGCCCCACCAGCCATTCTTGGACATGTAGCTCAGAGGAGGCTCTCCGAACATGCCATCCTGCAAGCAATATCAAATGCACTCCCGAAAACAAACTACAGTAGAATGGCACCCTCAAAAGCTGCTTTCCTCTACAAACCAGTGGTTTTTAGGATCCCGGGGTATCTCCGAGAGGCCCCGGACCAAAATAAACATGTCACTGTCGATGCTGCTTCGTTTCGGCAACACTGTCACACTTGTTCATCTTTTTCGCCCACACACATGGGACTGGAAGATTTGGATTTCTGGAGGTCTTTTGATGGGATTCGGTATCATGGCTCAGGAAAAGGAATTCTTTCAGGTGGTCTTTCAAGAAGCAAAATAGACACGAGAGGAGCTACCGGACCCTCACTACCCGACCCCTTTTGCTTCCGCACAGCACGAGCTAGGACAATGGTCGTCGTCATCCACGGGTGAATTCTCGGGGGTCCATGGGATCGTCAAGTCGCCGAAGATTGGGGCTGTGTGTCATGGGAGTCGTTGCTTGGGAACATGGGCAATCCCCAAAAAGCCTGGGAGTCGTTTTGAGACCCGCGTTTCACTCAGCTCAGCGGCCTGCACCATCAGTCCCATGATGGCAACCATGGCCAAACGACCTCATCGCTGGGAACGACTCGCAAAACGAACCTATCCTGTCCAATTTACCATGGCTCTACGGTACACGCAAGACAATAGCTCGCCCCCTAGTCCAGACTCTGAGGTCAATTCATCTCAGGCAGGCTCGAGTAATTCAATGCACTTCTGCTGCGATTAAGCGACCATTGTTGCGCTCAACGGTCTGCTTGCGCTCCAGCTCCTGACCATGGGTAGTTTCAGCCACTCCATTGTTGTGAACGGGAACATCGTTTGAATCACGTTCATATTTACAGGTCGTCCATTGACTTGATCCCACGACCATGCACCCAGCTTTAAGATAGCCCCCTATAGAGATCAGCTTCTACCCATCAAAGCATGAAGCTGGTCTGGGTCTGTGGCGGTTCATTCTGGCATCGAGAGTTCAAAGAGAGTGAGTATATCCTGCCCCCTACCCGGTTACCCCATGGCCCATGGTGCTTTCAAAATACTTTCAGGTTCAAATATCTCCCGTCCAGGATTGATACGAGTCTGTCTTTGTCGCAGCCGAAGCCCACTCCCGTCACGCGTGCGTTAAGCAAGAAGAAAAAACACAGACCGGTGCATGTTCACCCGCACACGCATACACACACATACACAAGTTTAGACAAGAACACCCAATCGCAGATGACAAACCAAAAAGACTTCAGAGATGTGAACCGTCCCCGTCCCCAACTTGACCCAGATTTAGCTGAAGGAAAGTCAAGTGTTGCAACGTTGAACTGGCTATGAATCCTCCCACACCCTAGTACGCTCTTGAATCACTATACCACAAGCAGGAAAACAGCTCTTGTATGGAAAGAGAAAAGAAAAAACAAAACCTGCCAATTGCCAAGAAAAAAAACCAGCCCTTCCCTTTGGACATCCTTCCCCTTCCGGGAAAAAAAAAAAAAAGAGAATGCGCGCGCTTTCCGTTTGGCTTCGCCGTAGCCCATGGACGGCCCCCGCGGCCTCGTCCTCGATGCCGTCCAGCAATTCGGTGCCCAAGCCGAAGTCCGAGGGGCCCATGCCACCTGGCCCCCGCTCGTGCTGCGGTCGGTGCGGTGTCGCCCCAACATAAAGAGAGAGACCGGATGCCACCCCTCTAGATCCACCTTTAGATGACTTACAAGTTGCGGTCAAAGAATCGAATTCGTGGCTCCACCCTTTGGGCTCTACCTGACTCTACGTATCGCAGAAAACAACGTCACGTTCCAAGTCCACTCTCTCCAAGGTTTTGCAAGATGTTTATCCATCAACAGTCTCACCAAGGGTTTATTGAAAAATGAAAAACAACGAGCACATCGCAGACAGTCCCGTTCCAATCAAAGTAATGTGTTCCTTGCAACCGGCTTCGTCTGGCTTTGGGAAGAGGCCAAATAAGCCAAATGCTCGCCATTCGATCCAAGTTCTTCGAAGAAAAGAGGACTCCCCTCCCTGCTTGTTGTTTGGCCCTCAGCCCCAGGACCACATGTGTGCCTTGTCTCATTGGAAACACCACAGCTAAGCTCGGATGGTCACCTGCCTTGCCGAGGCTTCACCAGCACTTCATGTGCGCCGATCCTGGAGGCGGATGGAGGCCCTAGAGATATCTCCCTCCACTCCAAGAAGTGAAATGCAGAAAAGAGGGATTCGGGTTTATCTAGCTTTTGCTATGGAGAGATCCTGGAATCTGGGTAACTGCTTAAACGGTCGTCAAGGTGCAGAGCCACCAGCTGAATCCAGCCCTCCATAGGGATGGACTCCAAAGCGCCCAAGCCGTGCTTGAAGGCCTGCGATGCTGTGGGATGCATGGCATGATACGTTCCATGGCATGATGATCTATGATGATGTACTCCCATTAATTCATAGATTCATAGATCATCGTGATTCATCATAATATACAGATTCATAATTAATTGATTCATAGATCACACATATATATATATATACATTGGATGGATGGATGGATGGATGGATCGATCGATGGATGGATGGATCGATCGATGGATCGATGGATCGATGGATCGATGGATCGATGGATCGAT